AAAAAAAAAAAAAAGAAAGAAAGAAAGAAAAAAGGGTGGCGCCTGTGGCTCAGTGAGTAGGGCGTGGACCCCATATACCGAGGGTGGCGTGTCCAAACCTGGTCCTGACCAAACCACAGCAAGAAAATGGCCGAGCATTGTGGCGAGCTGTCTGGCAGTCCCAGCTGCTAGGGAGGCTGAGGCAAGAGAATTGGAGGTTGCTGTGAGCTGTGTGACGCCATGGCACTCTACTGAGGGCAATAGGGTAAGACTGTCTCTTCAAAAAAAAAAAAAAGATACATGCTGAGAGACAGGAAAATATCAGATTTGATAGTGTTATAATGATTTTTTTAGCATTTTATGGACCAAGTGGTCTCTCAGATCCACTGAATTATGCCATTATAGCACAAAGTAGCCATAGACACAGACTAATGAACGTAGGTACTATCAGTGTTTCAATAAATTTCTGTAAAACTTTTACAACCTCATTTGTAAAACTTCATTCCAAAAAAGTGTATGGACCAAGTGTGGCCTGTAAACCATAGTTTGATGGCCCCTGGGTTAGAATATCCCTAAATACTAAAGTTCTCAAGTGAAATTCTATATCTGTGTGGGTAGTGGTAATGGTAGAAAACAGTATCTACACAACAGAGTATTATTCAGTCATAAAAGGGAATGGAATTCTGACACATGCCAGAACAAAGAACCCTGAAGAATCATCATACTAAGTGAATAGTCACACACAAATAGACAGATAGTGTATGATTCTACTTATATGAGATACCTAAAAGTAATCAAATTCATAGAAGTAGGAAGTACAACAGTGGTTACCAGGGGATAGGGGAGGGGCTCAAAAAGAATTACTGTTTAATGGGTACAGAGTTTCAACTGTGGAAGACGAAAAACTTCAGAGATGGATGATGGTGATGGTTGTACAACATGAATGTACTTAATGCCATGTGACTATACAGCTCTTCTGTATCTCTTATGATGATAAAAAACATTTTTAAAAAAATAAATCACTTTACATATTAGATACAATAAAAAAGTAGCTAAGACAATTAGGAAAATAATAACAATAAAGACAGATTTACTATACTAGATAGAAACACCCTGGTAGGCCAAGGTAGGAGGATCATTTGAGGTCAGGACTTTGAGACCAGCCTCAGCAAAAGGACACACCGTGTCTACTAAAAATAGAAAAATTAGCTGGGCATGGTGGCAGGCACCTGTAGTGCCAGCTACTCAGGAGGCTGGCTGAGGTTCAAACTTTGAACCTCCAGAGTTTGAGGTTACTGTGAGCTAGGCTGAGAACATGGCATTCTGGTCCATGCAACAGAGTAAGACTGTCTCAATAAGTAAATAAATAGCCTCATGTCGTGGTGTGCCCCTATAGTCCCAGCTACTCAAGAGATTGAGTTGGGAGGATCATTAGGGCCAAGGATTTGAGGCTCTAGCCCACTACGATCTTGCAACTATGTTGCTCCCTCAGCTCCGGTGACACAGTGGCAAGCCACCCTAAAAAAAAAAAAAGGCATAAAGCTCCTCAAATAACCATATAAAGTAATTGAATAATATGTTTATGAGTGAGAATGATCTTACACCAAGTGGTATACTTATGAATGGCAACTGGGGGTAGGAGTGGGAATGTTAAGATGCCTAC